TTTAAGAATGAACCACATTTGTTTTCTGACCAGGCTGGCGAAAGTCAGAAATTTAAGGCTGAGCATCTAATCGAATGCACTACTTCCTCCCTAACCCTTATCGCTACTGCCCTTTGACCCTCAGTGGGGAGGGGGAGTCAAAGGGCGGCTGCTTTTCAGCAGTAGAGGATCTCTGGGTTTTTCTAAAAGTTTGGGTAGTTGGGTGTAAACTTCTGGGAAAGCACACCGCATATGCAATTAGGCTTGTGTTTCTCAGCTCGGGCCACTTTAAGATGGGTGAACTTCAACTCCCAGAATTCCCCAGCCAGAATGGGAAGTTCTGGGAGTTAACGTGCGTCCATCTTAAAGGGCCCAGGTTGAGAAACATTGTCCAGGCAGCTTAATTTTTCTGCAATGTCCCCTCTGTCTCCTCTCCCAGACTTTCAAAGGACCCCAAATGTCCGGGTTTAAGAAGAATGGGTTTAAGAATGTCTGGGTCCTTCTGCTACTGACACTCCCAAAAGCTGGGAAAATCTGCCCAGCTTTGTCACCAGTTTCCTTGGAGGAAAAATTAAGGTCTCCATGACTTGAAAGCCTCATGGCAGTTGTGGCTTACAAGGGCTTAGCATTGGCATTGATGCCAACATGGAAAGGAAAAGAGAAAGGAAAAGAAAAAAGGAGAGGAGAGGAGAGGGGAAGGGAAGAAGGAAAGCAGGAGGAAGGAACAATGAAAAGAAAGAAGGAAGGAAGAAGAAAGGAAGACATGAGAGAAGGAAGAGAGAGAAAAGAAAGAAAAAGAAAGAAAAGAAAGAAAGGAGGGAGGAAAGGAAGGAAGGAAAGAGAAAGGGAAAGAAAGGAGAAAAAGAGGAAGGAGGAAGATAGGAAAAAGAAAGAAAGAAGGAAGGAAGGGAAAGAGAAAGGAAAAAGAAAGGAAAGAAAGAAGAAAGAGAAAGAGAGAAAGAAGAAAGAGAAGGAAGGAAAGAGAAAGAAAAAAAAGGAAAAAAACAAAGGAAAGAAAGAAAGAAGAAAAAGAAAGAAGAAAGAGAGGAAGGAAGGAAAGAAAAAGAAAGAAAGAGAAAGGAAGGAAGGAAGGAAGGAAGGAAGGAAGGAAGGAAGGAAGGAAGGAAGGAAGGAAGGAAGGAAGGAAAGAGAAAGGAAGGAAAAACAAACTAAATATTGAACAATAAATAAGGAAAAAGATGAAAAAAGGGAAGCAATAAGGCAGCAGACACGGCATGAGAAATGGCCTTTTTTCAGAGGGCTGGGCAGCAACCGGTAGGCAGTGTGGAGAAAATGACCACAACAGGCAACTAACACAACCCTCCGTTTCCACGGAGCACAAAAATCCCCCCAAACCAAACCCAAAACCCCATAAGGGCAAATGCGCCATCGCCAATAAGAGCCCTTGCACAACGGCTGCCAGATCGCTGCCCTTTCGAACGGCCCAACAATACAAGAACACGCAAACTTCGTGGCCAAAAACAGAAAAAGCAAAACCCAACCCCAGCCTTTGTGAAAGAAATCTGACTCCTGCCAAAAACCGGCACATCTGCTGGTGCCGATAAAGGCTTCCACATGTGCCACGCTGTCAGAAGAAGGAAGCATGGAAGTCAAGAGCCTCCCCAACAATTTGGAGACTGGGGTGCGGTGGAAGGGGATGCGGCCATCTGGCCTGGCCGCGTGCACTTAGCAGGGATCGGCCCCACCACCCCCCAAAAAATAATTCTACAGAAGAATGACTGAGTCTGTCCTCTGCACTTCTATAACGGTCTGGTTTGGTTCTGCAACCCAACAAGACAGACACAAACTTCAGAGAGTAATTAGGACTGCACAAAAAAACAATTACTACCAACCATTTTTACTACCGGTTCTGTGGGCACGGCTTGGTAGGTGCGGCTTGGCTTGATGGGTGTGGCTTGGTGGGCGTGGCAGGGGAAGGATACTGCAAAATCCCCCTTCCCTCTCCACCCCGCTAACCTGCTTTCCAGCTCGGTTCTCTCCTCTGCAGGGCAACCAAAGGAGACCCAGCCGATCAGCTGGGACTCGATGGGAGGCAGAGAAGAGACGGTGGGGCGGAGCCAGTCAGAGGTGGGATTGGCCGGTTCTCCAAACTACTCAAGATTTCCACTACTGGTTGTCCAGAATTGGTCAGAACCGGCTAAATCCCACTTCTGACCTGTATACTGTACAAATCAAAAAGAGGGCTGTGAAAATATCTACAGACCCCTCACATCCTGGACATAAACTGTTTCAACTCCTTCCCTCAAAATGACGCTATAGAGCACTGCACACCAGAACAACGAGACACAAGGGGAGTTTTTGCCCAAATGCCATCACTCTGCTAAACAAATAACTCCCTCAACACTGTCCAACTATTTACAAAGTCTGCACTACTATTACTATTAATCTTCTCATCACTCCTTATCACCCATCCCCTCCCACTTGTGATTGTATGACTGTAACTTTGTTGCTTGTATCCTAATGATTTATATGGACTATTTCCTAGTATGATTTGATTGCTTATTGTACCCTATGACTATTATTAAGTGTTGGACCTGATGATTCTTGACTCTTGACGAATGTCTCTTTTCTTTTATGTACACTGAGAGCATTTGCACCAAGACAAATTCCTTGTCGCACTTGGCCAATAAAGAATTCCTTCCTTCCTTCTTTCCTTCCTTCCTTCCTTCCTCCCTCCCTCCCTCCCTCCCTTCCTTCTTTCATTCATTCAAATAATGCCACTTCTGAAAGGGACATTACTTGGGGGTCTGCAATTTCTGCCTTGGGGCTATCAATGTCACCCCTGCCTCTGCCCCTGCCAGCCCCCAGCAGTTTGCCGGCAAAGAGAAAGTGGGACTGCTGCCCACATCGGCTGTCTGGACCAAAAAGACCCACCTGGTCAGAGAGACAAGCCCCCCCGAAGTCTTCCAGGTCGGACTTGGAGCCTCCGTCTCGGTCGTCAATGACCAGGTCGATGGGCATCTTCCCCTTCAGGCAGGTGATGTAGCGGTGGCAGAAGTTGTCACAGAGGTCATGAACCTGGAAGGGGAAAGGGGAAAGGGGAAAGGGGGAAGGGGAAAGGGGAAAGCGGAAAGGGGAAAGGGAAGGGGAAGGGAAGAGAAGAGAAGAGAAGAGAAGAGAAGAGAAGAGAAGAGAAGAGAAGAGAAGGGGAAAGGAAAGGAAAGGAAAGGAAAGGAAAGGAAAGGAAAGGAAAGGAAAGGAAAGGAAAGGAAAGGAAAGGAA